TATTTATTAGTAAGGTTTGTTCTTGGTTTTGGGTTTTCTTTTAATTATTAATTTATATAAAAGTTATAGGGCTATTAAGCTTTTAATTTTTTGCATTAACTTTTGGCAAGTTATATTTTTATATTGTTCAACTAACTAAAATTTTGAATTTATTGGAATAAAGGTGTTAAAAAGTATCCTTACTGGGAGCCTGGGTGGCTCAGTCGTTAAGCGTCTGCCTTTGGCTCAGGTCATGATCCCAGAGTCCTGGGATCGAGTCCCACATCAGGCTCCCTGCTCCGCGGGAAGCCTGCTTCTCCCTCTCCCACTCCCCCTGCTTGTGTTCCTGCTCTCACTATGTCTCTCTCTCTCAAATAAATAAATAAAATCTTAAAAAAAAAAAAAAGTATCCTTACTGTCTTTTTCATTTCAGTAGAATCTGTGGAGTTATCCCCATTTTCATTTCTGACAAGGGGTTTTTTTATGCCTTCTCTTTTTCTCATGGTGATTTCAAAGAACTAACATTTGGCTTTTATTGATGCTCCCATTTCTGATTGTTTTCTGTTTTATTCATTTTTAATTTTATTTATATTTTCACCAACATTTCATTTCATTTTGTCTTTAGTTCCTTCCTTTCCCCCTCCCTTTTTTTGGTATTTAATTTTTTGTCCTTTTTCTAAGTGGATACGTAGCTCTTTGAATTTCAGCTTTCCTTCTTCCCAGATATATGCATTTAAAGATAAAAATTTTCCTTTAGTTCAGCTGTATTTGTATTCTCTAAGTTTTGATATGGAGTACTCTTACCATTCAGATAATGATTATACATGCTAATAAAATTCTTTCTGATTTTTATGGCCAGGGGTGTTGAGCCTTGGGTTATATACGAGTGTAAATTCCTAACAGATTTTTTTTTTTTTTTTAAGATTTGATTTATTTATTTGAGAGAGAGAATGAGAGAGAGCATGAGAAGGGGAAGGATCAGAGGGAGAAGCAGACTCCCTGCTGAGCAGGGAGCCTGATGTAGGACTCGATCCCGGGACTCCAGGATCATGACCTGAGCCGGAGGCAGTTGCTTAACCAACTGAGCCACCCAGGCGCCCCTTAACACGAGATTTCTAGTGATCATTTTTGTTAATGATTTCTAGCTTATGTGCAAAAACGGTATTCCAGGTGATTTTGAGTCTTTGGAATTTGTGGCTTGCTTTAATGGTCCAACATACGGCTAGTTTTCATAAATACTCCATTTGCACTTGAAAAGAATATGTATTTTATAGTTGTTGGGTATGGTGATCTTGAATTAGACCAAACTTGCTAATCATTTAGGTCTTTTATATTCTTACTGATTTTTCCCCCTTTTTTTGTTTGAATATTTTGGTTACTTTATTTCCTTAAATTCTAATATCGTAAAAAATGAACACATCTACAGTTTTCCTAAATTTATCCATTTTTAAAAAAGATTTTACTTATTTATTTGAGAGAGAGCACGAGAGGGGGGAGGGTCAGAGGGAGAAGCAGACTCCCTGCTGAGCTGGGAGCCTGACTCCAGGCTTGATCCTGGGACTCTGGGATCATGACCTGAGCTGAAGGCAGATGCTTAACCAACAGCTACCAAGGCGTCCCTTATTTTATCCATTTTAATATTTAACAGCCTTTACAAATGTGTGTCTGAATCACTTGTATTTTACTTAAGGTTTTTTAAAAATTACTAGTTCTTATTGTGGTAAAATGCATATAAAAATGGTTAAAGTTGGGGCGCCTGGGTGGCTCAGTCGTTAAGCATCTGCCTTTGGCTCAGGTCATGATCCCGGGGTCCTGGGATCAAGCCCTGCATCGGGCTCCCTGCTCCACGGGAAGCCTGCTTCTCCCTCTCCCATTCCCCCTGCTTGTGTTCCCTCTCTGGCTTTCTCTCTCTCTGTCAAATAAATAAAATCTTAAAAAAAAAAAAAAAAACAAACATGGTTAAAGTGATCAATTTTATGTTAAAAATGCACATGCAGGGTGCCTGGGTGGCTCAGTCGTTAAGCGTCTGCCTTCAGCTCAGGTCATGATCCCAGGGTCCTGGGATCGAGTCCCACATTGGGCTCCCTGCTTGGCAGGAAACCTGCTTCTCCCTCTCCCACTCCCCCAGCCCCTGCTTGTATTCCTGCTCTCGCTATCTCTCTCTCTGTCAAATAAATAAATAAAATCTTTAAAAAAAAAAAATGCACATGCAATAATTCTGTTTTCTCCTTCCAGTCCCCGTTAACCTCTTTATTACTTTCTGTCTGCATGAATTTGTCTATTTTAGAGAATACAAGGGAAGTCATACAATATTTATTCTATTCATGTCTGGATTATTTTACTTGGCATAATGTTCTTAATATTTATGATGTTGTAGCATGTGTCAAAACTTCATTTCTTAGGGCACCTGGATGGCTCAGTTGGTTAAGCATCTGTCTGCCTTTGGCTCAGGTCATGAACCTGGGATCCTGGGATTGAGCCCTGCGTCGGGCTCCCTGCTCAGCAGGGAGTCAGCTTCTCCCTCTCCCTTTGCCCCTCCCCTGCTGGTGCTCTCTCAAACACGCTCTTCTCTCTCTCTCAAATAAATAAAATATTTTTTAAAACTTCATTTCTTTTTAAGGCTGAATAATATTCCATTCTTTGGATATACCACATTTTGTTTATCCATTCATCTGTTGATGGACATTTGGGTTGTTTCCATCTTTTAGCTCTGTGAATAGTGCTGTTATGAACATTGGCGTACAAATATCTGTTTGACTCCCCGTTTTCAGTTATTTTGAGTATATATCTAGAATTGGAATTGTTTGGTCATACATTAATTCTATATTTAACTTTTTGAGGAGCTATCAACTGTTTTCTACAACAGCTGCACCATTTTACATTCCCAACAGCAGTGCAGGTTTCCATTTTCTCCATTTTCTTGTCAGCACTTAGTATTATCTCTTTTGTTTATTATAGCCATCCTAGTGGGTGTGAAGTGGTATTTCATGCTTATAATTTGCATTACCTTTATGACTAATAATGTTCAATATCTTACCATTTGCTTATTGGCCATTTATCTTTGAAGAAATACCTTGTCTCGTTTTGTGTCTTTTTAAAAAATTACTTTATTTTAGTTACTATATTTTCAAAATTGTTTATGGCAGTAATTAGAGTTCAAAGATGATGATACTGACTTTCAGAGATTTTTTCTTTTTATATTTTATTTATTTGAGAGAGAGAGAGAGAGCATGAGCTGGGGTGAGGGGCAGAGAAAGAGAGAGAAGCAGATTCCCCTCTGAGCAGGGAGCCCGACGCGGGGCTCAATCCCAGCACCCTGGGATTGTGACCTGAGCTGAAGGCAGACACTTAACTGACTGTGAGCCACTCAGGCATCCCTGACTTTCAGAGAATTTTTGCTTTTTTATGATAGGTGCTTATTGAGATGAGTGAAGGTTGAACTTGTGATTTTGTTTTTTATTTTTAGTTCTCTCTTAACTCCTGGGGTAGAGATTTTCCAGGTCCCAACACAGAACAAGCAGCATTCACTAGTGCCCCCAACCTCTTGGTGGCTCTAGACTCCAGTCTCTGTCTCTCTCTAGTCCTTTAAGACTGTCAAACAGACCATCTGCCTCTTAACCTTCCTCTTGGAATCAGAAAAGGTGCCAGGAAAAAAGCAACCCTAAATAACAGACACCTTGCTGTGCTAATGGCCCTGAGTGCTGGCTCGGTCCTTTTTTACTATCTTGTTGGCTCTTGACACCTAAGAGAGCTCTGGGTTTTCTAGTTATCCTCTCTGGCGTCACCCAGGTTGTCATTTAATAGGAAGGCAAGTTTTAATTTTCATGGAAATAACAATTCTTTATTGTCAAGTGCTTATTTCATTGGCTTATTTAATATATATTTATGTCATTATAATAAGTATAACTAGCATGCATGCGTTTGGAACAAATGCTATTGATGATTGTTAACCATATAACTCAGTTGTTGAGATTAGAAATAAACAAGAGTGGTCTGCTACTTGTAGTTTGTTTTTTTAATTATTTTTTTAACAATTTATTTATTTGAGAGAGAGAGAGAGAGCACATGTGCAGGAGGGAGGGGCAGAGGGAGAGGGAGTCCCAAGTGGACTCAAGACCCTGAGATAATGACCCAAGCTGAAACCAAGAGTCGGACACTTAACCGACTTCGTCATCTAGGTGCCTCGTAGTTTTTTTTTTTTTTTTTTTTTAAGATTTTATTTATTTATTTGACAGAGAGAGAGAAATGGAGCGGGGTGGGGGGCAAAGGGAGAGGGAGAAGCAGACTCCCAGTTGAGCAGAGAGCCTCATGCTGGGCTCAGTCCCAGGATCCTGGGATCATAACCTAAGCCGAAGGTGGATGCTTAACTGACTGAGCCACCCAGGCGCCCCAATCCAGGGAGTTTTTAAGTGGAGGTTGAATAAGAGATCTCCTCTACGAAGCTTATATATGGTAGAGGTTCTTGCCTTAAGTAAACCTACTGTGTGTACACCTGAAATTTGCATCATTGGATGTCAGGGTTTTTCTCCTTTTTCTTTCTCATCATCTTTAAAAAAGAAATCTTAATCAGCAAATGCCTCTTCCCTATTTTCTTCAAGGCAGCACGCCACGTTCTGTGAGGAGACAGTCATGAATCCTGTCAAGAAAGGAAGAAAATGTTTAAAGAAGAAGAAGTTATTTAGAGTAGTAACTGAAATATAAGACATAATATGATGGGTTAACTAAGTGTCTGGGTAGAATGCTCAGGGTTCAGAGGAGAAGGACTTTTCAAGGAGATTTCCCACTTTGTTTTGAATGTACTTAGCTTATTCTTCCAAACACCAGAGAGTAATATATTTGAGACCTTATATTCTGGTTATGTATTAAACATTGTGAGTTGAACTTGTTAGGTCATTTTTAGATATGTAAGAGCTGAACAAGAATGCTCTTTTTGACTAGTTTTTAAGATAATGTTAGTTATGTAATTATGTGTGCCTGAGGTTTTTTTGTTTTTTTGTTTTCCCCTTTTGGTCTCTTTATAGGAAGAGCATTAAGAAGTTGGTTTTGAAAAACCTTAACAATAGCAATCTCTTCTCTCCTGTTAATCGTGATTCAGAAGATCTAGCTTCACCATCTGATTATCCAGAAAATGGGGAGAGGTAAACTGAATTTTGTTTTCGGTTGTTTCTAGTAGAGCACCCTGTTCTCATTTTGAAGAGATTCTGAGCTTGGAATTTATTCATTCTGTGAAAATTTATGAAGTTTGGTGAATGTGGCATGGTATTACAGATATGAGCACCTAGAAATTGATCATGTTTTTGCTTTTTGAGTATTTTAGACCTTAAAATTATTGGAGATCTTCTGATTCAGTTCTACGTAATTATTTTGATATCCATGTGTCATTTTGGACAGGGTTCTCATACATTTGACACCCCTTTCCCCCCTTTAAAATAAGGGATGTCTTATTTGTGATAATTATCAAAGTGATGCATAGTCATTGTAACTACACCAAAAAAATAAGTATATAAGTGTATAAAGGAGGAAGTAGAAATATACACAATAATCCTTAATAGTTTGATGTATATTCTTACAGTTTAGAAATTTATTTATATAGATACATTGTAGAGACTAGGCATGACTGATAGAATATTTTTAGCCTGCTTATTTCCACTTATTTTATTATAAATGCCTTTCTATATCTATGAATATATCTGCCTCCTCTTTTTTTATTTTTATTTTTTTAAGATTTTATTTATTTATTTGACAGAGAGAGACACAGTGAGAGAGGGAACACAAGCAGGGGGAGTGGGAGAGGGAGAAGCAGGCTTTCCGTGGAGCAGGAAGCCTGATGCGGGGCTCGATCCCAGGACCCTGGGATCATGACCTGAGCCGAAGGCAGACACTTAATGACTGAGCTACCCAGGCGCCCCTCTGCCTTCTCTTTTTTTAATGACTTTAATAGCCATCTTGGTGAATATATGATAATCAGTTCCCCATTGGAGGACATTTAGATTATTTTGGTAATCTTTTTTTTTTTTTTAAGATTTTATTTATTTATTTGACAGAGACAGACACAGTGAGAGAGGGAGCACAAGCAGGGGGAGTGGGAGGGGGAGAAGCAGGCTTCCTGCTGAGCAAGGAGCCCAGTGCGGCGCTTGATCCCAGGACCCTGGGATCATGACCTGAGCTGAAGGCAGATGCTTAACGACAGAGCCACCCAGGAGCCCCTATTTTGGTATTCTTATATTCAAAATAATGCCTCAGTGAAAAATTCTATATACATCCTTGCACTCCTGGGTTTTTTTTTTTCTTCCTTGGATAAAATTCTAAGTTGATGTTTCCTTAATGAAGCATAATACCTTGCTGATGATAATACTAAAAACCTAAAATTTTTAGTTTGAAATTCACCACTCTTTGTCCTTATATAGTAGAATGCCTTTTTTCTTTTTCTTTTTTTTTTTTAACTAATGTTTGGGATGCTCAGATTCATTCATTCATGAAAGTAGATCAGTTGTAATCTGATCATGAAAATAGGTCGTGTAATCTACAGCCAGATTTCCTGTGTTAAAATCCCAACTCTAGCACTTAGAGTTTTTTAATTTGGGCAAGTTATTTTATTTTCTCTGTCAGTTTAAATAAATTTTTAATATGTAAAATTACTCAGTAAAGGTTTAGTGAGGGTTGGCTGTTATCATTGTTATAAAGGGCTAAGATACCATTTGTTTCTTTTCTACTTTTCAGATTCAGTTTCCTGAGCAAACCTGTTGATGAGAACCATCAGCAGGATGGAGATGATGATTCTCTTGTGTCACGTTTTTATACTAACCCTATTGCCAAACCCATTCCTCAAACCCCGGAGAGTGCTGGAAATAAACACAACAGCAGCAGCAGTGTGGATGATACCATTGTTGCATTAAACATGCGTGCTGCTTTGCGAAATGGGCTGGAAGGAAGCAGTGAAGAGACCTCTTTTCATGAGGAGTCACTGCAGGATGACCGAGAAGAAATAGAAAATAATACTTACCATATGCATCCAGCAGGTTAGCTACAAATTGATACATGGGTAACATTTTACCAGTCATTTGAGACCTTACTTTTCACAGATTTTCAATTTACTGGAAGTCAGCTACCTGAACTTTTAATTAAATGTCTTTATTACATTTTATAGACGTTAATGTTTAAACACTTTTCACTTATTTTTTTTTTTTTAAGATTTTATTTCTTTCTTTGACAGAGAGAGCACAAGCAGGGGGAGAGGGAGAAGCAGGCTCCCCGCTGAGCAGAGAGCCCAACACAGGGCTCAATCGCAGGACCCTGGGATCATGACCTGAGCTGAATGCAGATACTTAACCAACTGAGCCACCCAGGCGCCCCTGTTTTGTTTGATTCTTATTAATTCACTTACTTTTTGTACCTTTGGAGTAGTTAAAATTCATGTCATTAATTATCCAGGTATAGTTTAAAGATCCCAAATTCTATAGCCAGAGACTATCTTCATACTTTTCCTGGCTTTATAAACTCAGATTGCTTATTAGGTTTTTTTTTTCCTAAAGATATTTATTTGACAGGTAGAGACCACATGTAGGCAGAGTGGCAGGGAGAGGGGAGAAGCAAGCTTCCTGCTGAGCAGAGAGCCCGACGTGGGACTCGATCCCAGGACCCTGGGATCACGACCTGAGCCAAAGGCAGCCACTTAACCGACCGAGCCACCCAGGCGCCCCACTTGTTAGTTTTTTAATTAAAATAATAGTGATGGGGCGCCTGGGTGGCTCAGTTGGTGAAGCGACTGCCTTCGGCTCAGGTGATGATCTGGAGTCTCAGGATCGAGTCCCAGCATCGGGCTCCCTGCTCGGCAGGGAGTCTGCTTGTCCCTCTGACCCTCCCCCCTCTCATGTGCTCTCTCTCTCTCATTCTCTCTCTCAAATAAAAAAATAAAAATAAAAAAATAAAAAATAAATAAAATAAAATAAAATAATAGTGATAGTTATCATATAAAGCTTTTGAGGTTGAATTAGATTAATATAGAAACCATAATGCCTGAAATGTATTGGCATTCAAATGGTATAGGTGCTGTGGTTAATTATTATCACCTCAGTTCTGTGCTTCCCCCTCCCCCCAGCAGTGAACTGATTGATCATTTTTCCCCCAATGAATCCGTGAAACAAATAATACAAACAACAAGATTATAGTGTCTCTATTGGTTACTTAAATTAAGCTTGCCTTTTTTCCTACTTTATTTATTTTTAAAGATTTTATTTTATTTTTTTAAAAGATTTTATTTATTTATTTGACAGAGAGACAGTGAGAGAGGGAACACAAGCAAGGGGAGTGGGAGAGGGAGAAGCAGGCTTCCTGCTGAGCAGGGAGCCCGATGCAGGGCTCGGTCCCAAGACCCTGGGATCATGACCTGAGCTGAAGGCAGACGCTTAATGGCTGAGCCACCCACGTGCCCCTAAAGACTTTATTTTTAAGTAATCTCTGCATTCAGCTTGGGGCTCAAACTTACAACCCAATATCAAGAGTCACATGCTCCACTGACTGAGCCAGCCGGGCACCCAGCTTGCCATTTTTTCTGTGTTGACATAACATCACATTTGGGCTTTGATGAATGTAATCTCATTCCTTTTTTTTACTGAGATACAATTTATATGTAGTGAAGTAAACAGATCTTAAGTGTTTATTTCAATGAATTTTGACATACATACTTGGTATATATAATGGAAAGTGGAAAGTTTTTTCATGTCCCCATCCCCAGAAGTCGACTACAGTCTAGTTTCTTTCACATAGACTAGTTTTGCTTATTCTTGAACTTTCTATAAATGGAATCATACTATCTGTACTTTTTCACTCTACATTTTTGAGATTCTATCCATGATATATCAACAGTTCATTCTTTTTTATTGCTTGTGATATTACATTATTATATATATGCTACACTTGGTTTATCTATTCTCTGTTAGTGAACATTTGGATTGTTTTATAGTTACTCTTGAAGTGTCTGTGAAATTTTTCTGCATCTAATTATCTTATTGCCTTCATATAGATCTTCCGGTCACTTGGTGCCCTGAGGAAACAACTGTATATTTTCACATTAAGAATCCAAGTATCTATATTTGTGTATATCTGCATGAAATTATTTTGATACTACATCTGTTTTTCAAATACCCAGTCTAGACTTTTTTATTCTTATTTTTCTCATTGACCTTGTTTGTCACCTTCCAAATTAAAATTCCCTTCTTGGGGGGCGCCTGGGTGGCTCAGTTGGTTAAGCGGCTGCCTTCGGCTCAGGTCATGATCCTGGAGTCCTGGGATTGAGTCCCACATTGGGCTCCCTGCTCAGCGGGGAGTCTGCTTCTCCCTCTGACCCTCCCCCCTCTCATGTGCTCTCTCTCTCTCACACAAATAAAT